AGAGAAAGAGAGGCGTCTTCCAGTGTTTGTTAGTGTCGCTGTGCTGAGGAGGCACAAAGTGACACTTTGTTTTCCCCTCACCCCCCGTCAGAAGGCCCTCACAGGAGAACAGAGTGGCATTCATCGCTTCTGCTGAATGATGCGCACAATGCCTCGCATTGTGGCTCCACAGCAATATGCACGTGTGATTAGAATGGCTTTGAACACAAAAAAAGCCACAGCTGCTTGACGGGCATTATGGCCACAAATGTCTAGTATATTAAAAGTCTGCCATGCTCTGGCTTTCAGAGCCTGCCCTCTAGCTGCGGTGAACGAGCACAGCCTGGCAGTGAAAGCAAACATTTCAGTGTATTTCAATAGCAAACAACTTCACGCCTCAGCAGCACAACGGCTAAACAAAATCCTCAGTACAGTTCAGAGCTACGTTTAATCAGAAAGGCTGTGAGGACGGCGGCTCCCCTCGCCCGCCCCATTCTCCAGTTTTGGCAGGATCACACTGTAGCCTCACAGGGATATGGTAATGATGGAGCTTTACTGCCCTGACTGCTGCCTATATTAGAGCTGCACAGCACTTCAAAGACAGACGCTTCTCTGACTGACAATGTGCAGGAATAGAAACACCAAGCGAGGCAGCGCAAACATGCCCCCGCACCAGTTTTCACACACGCACAGCCGATGGAGGCTCTGAACGACCGGTGCTTAAGTGAATAAAAAGCCAGGGACGGACACACACACACACGCACACACACCCACACACACACACCACACACACACACACACACACACACACACACACACACACACACACACACACACACACACACACACACAGCTAAGCTAAGCGACAGTGTGGCGGCTAGACTTGACATGCAATGAAGCAACCATTCAGTTTGATAAAGTATGTTACGCGACAGACCATGCTAAGAAAATAAAAAAAACATTATGGGAATGAAGTCATAAAATTACGAGGAATCATAAAATTATAAGAATACAGTTGTATGAGAGTAAAGTCCGAATGACATATCTTTAATTTTATTATGACAACTTTATTCTGGGGTTGCACCAATATAAAATGTTGGCCCAATATCATTCTCCAACTATTATGGTTTTATTCTCGTGCCACTTTATTCTCAAAATATGATTTTATTCGTAAAAAATTAGGACTTTAGGACAACTTTAGTCTCGTATTTTTTCACTTTTTTCTTGGAAGATCATCCTCATGACATTATGACCTTAGTCATAGACAAGTTTATTTTTATACTTTAACAATTTCATTCACATATGTCAACCTTATTATAATATTATGAGTTCATTCTTTAAATGAAATTTCTTTACCCTACGTTTCTTAAAGGTAGGGAGTCAAATTCTGCGGAAGAGGATCTAAAATAGATCAAATGCTGGGCCATTCTTTAGTGGCTCCAGTCTTTTGCGGCGTCTAAAATGTCATCTTCCAGAATGTTTCTGTATTTGTCTACCTCCATCTTCCCATCAAGTCTGAGTGGCATAACTGTCCACCGGGTTTCACAATGTGAAGTGTTACTTTTCCTCATTTTAATGTAGAGAAAAAAAAAGTGCAATTTTGGTCTCATCTGACCACAGCACCTTCGTCCACATAATTTACTATGTGATTTATGACAAACAGCAAATGAAACTATTCATAAATCTTTGCTTTCTTGCCATACCATCTCCATGGCTAATGTTCTCGTTTTACCTAAAAATAAGTACTTTTTAGGTGATTGATTTGAACAATTGCTGGCTGTGAATATTTAGAGAGTAACCTAAAATTAAGGTGGAATCTATTAATTGATGGTAATCACGTCACTGGACTTTATTTAAGGGTATTAGTAGAATTGTGGCCGAACACAAATAAATGTGATGATGTTTAGATTCTTAATAGTGAAAAAAAAATTTTTTTTTTTAAAAAGCAGAAACTGATGCATCCCTTTTTCCAATCCTTTACACTTATGCTCCAAATTGTGTTCGTCTAGCAAAAGAAATCCCAACAAAACACATTCAGAGTCGCAGTTATAGCAGGAAAGTAGAGTAAGAATAATCTGGCAAGACATCCTACTCCAGGGAAGACGTTTCTGAAAGTATTAGTAGCTGCAGGAAACAAACTGAGAAAATGAAGACGCCTTCAGAGAAACCGTCTGGGAGACGTCAAGCAGCTTTGTCGGTCAAATCATCTTTGAGCGATGAGCCCAGTAGTGGCTTGCAAACTGAATATTTTTGTTGCTTATTAGATGAGGAGATGTTTTGGCATGCAGACTGTCACCTGAATACATGCATGTTTGAAGGAGGACGCAGGTGGAAGAGTGAAGCTGCAAGCAGTGGACGACTTGAATGCGGCGATTTCTTACATTTTTATTTTGTGTGTCATGTAGTGTTGATGCAATTGCCATAAATTTGATCTACAGCAGGAAATCTTTGTGTCTTTGGTCTTATTTTTTTATTTTGTTTTTATTTTGTGTTGTCAAAATATCTAAAAAAAAGGTTTTATTGCTCTTTGTACTAGCTAAAAATGCCTGTCATGTACTGACAATCTTCCAGTTTGCATAAATGAGATGAGGACAAAAATAATGGCATGATGGAGACTGGTGGACTTGTGACAAGGAGGATAGCTGTAAGATATTTTTGGAAATATCTTGACATTTTTATATCAATATTAATCAGAAATATATATATATATATATTGTTTAGCATTCATCAACAAGCTAATACAATGAAATGGTGAAGCGATTGGCTTTGTCAGTCTCAAATGCAGGTGCTTGACTCAGTCCAGAGAGTTTAGGCCTCTCTGAGGTAAGGCCAGACTCTCCAAACCATCAGACTGGCTCAAACTGGTTGATGGTGTTCAATCTCACATGGTGAAGAAGTCTTTCCCTTCACAGCCCACCCACAAACCACGCAGCATCTTAAAGAGCACCCCTCTGTGGTGCCGTGGTGTATTTCTCCCTGTCTCGATCGCCCAGCATGCGGTGCAGTCTGGGTCTCCGCGTCGGGTAGCCGTGGAACGAATCAAAATCCCTCAAGACAAGCAGCGACACGGGCCGGTTTACTCACCGCCGTCACCCTGACGAGCGCAACACCAGCAGCCCCGTGGATTCATCCCTGGCACGCTGCCATCCAATCTCCCTGGCTCTGTGCGTCTCAGCAGCAGAGTCTACTGGCTGGGCCAGAAATGCCAGCATTGATTTCAAATGCTTTAAATGACCCCGTGGAAGAGCGAATCTATGATTTCTTTCCTTTCTTGTTTGTCCAAAACATTAAGGCCCGCACCATACGGCCTGTGCATGGCTTCGAGCTGACCAACAACCTGACGTTTAGCAGCAGCAGATGCTGCTGCTATGTTGCATCATATATATATATATATATATATATATATATATATATATATATATATATATATATTATATATATATATATATATATATATATAATAAAAAAAGGACCGCCATTGCTTCGGCAAAAGACTCCCATCAACGTGGACCCTGAAGGCACCAATCAATACGCAGCTGAACCGTTAATGGCAAATTAGCGGACGCAGCCGCACCGGGACCGCGGTCTATTAATCGCCGTCCAAAAAAGGCGCAGGAAGAACAAAGACTCTGGCGTCCGCTTTTCGTGCATATTGTCACGAAAAGCGTCCACATGATCAGCGTCGCTTTGGTTTTAATGGGAGGTAACAGGAATTCAAACCTGGTCTGATGCAAAACGCGTTTGCGCATTTCAAATCACAACAAATTGGCGAATATCATCCCATTTGAAGCACACACACACACACACACACACACACACACACACACACACACACACACACACACACACACACACACACACACACACACACATATACATCTGTGGAAGGGATGAAGCAGAAGATCAGTGCGGGTCAATTGTAAATGAGAAGTGGGCTGTGGTGACAAGGTCACCAGCGTCGTGCAAATGAAAGGATGGAGGGGTTAAAAAAAAGAGTCAGGACAAACACAAACAATATGGAAGAAGAGAGGAAAATCCCAGCACCTTTGTTTGAGGACGCGGCTCTTCCGCTCCGATCGGCACCGAGGTGAACCCCCGGCTCCCCCCCGACAGCTCCGAGCCCTTTTGTGTTGCTGATGCTGCGGGTGCACGACGGGCGAGACGCACGCACCTGGAGAGAGACGCTCCCCGCACAGCTGCCCGCGTGCCAGACGGAGATGGAGAAAGGGAGGGTGTGGCAGCGAGAGCAGAGCGCAGCGAGCGGCGGCGGCGGAGCGGAGCGCGGCGCGTCACGATGCGAGCGCGGTACACGGCGAAGGCGCGTGCTTCCTGGGAGTCGTTAAAGACACCATGAGGTGAATGAACCCAGTTTTTCGATCAAAATCTAAAGCTTGTTCCAGAAAACATATTTTCATGTTGAGTGAAAGCGAGTTATTGACGCGTGCGGCAATCAGGAGAGTGTTGTAGGTGAACTTTCCATGTCCCTGCAGCCTGGCGTGAGCTGCTTAAAGGCATAAGGTACCAAAAGCTAAAATGTTCCGTTTTTATGGACACTGGACCTTTTCACTAGAAGCCAGAGAAATTGTCCGCTTGTCCTTTGGCAATTTGAAGACTGCCCTCCCCCCACCTGTTGCTGTACAGCAGGTGTATCATCTCAAGAATCTGACCCAGGATAAACGTGAACGGTAAAAAAAAAAAAAAAAACCCCATCAAGTTATTAAATTAAAATGCTATTATTGTAGGCACTATGAACACTGAAAGAAAACTACTTAGATTATAATGCCGTAGATTTCTGTTGTCGCCGTTAGAAAACCAGAGTAATTTTATATATGTATATGTTGCAGTATGCTGGATCTGGATGTAAAGAGCAAGTCTGGCTTATTATGAATGAAAAACCGGCAGCATTCCAATGAAATGTTAAAAGCAGCTCCATAGAGCACCGTGGTTAGGAATGAATGACTAAAACAAAATTGACATGTTTCTTGCCTTCACTTCTCAGGGTGTGGAGACAGGAACCGAGTCGTTGGGTGATCCTTGATCTGAAATGTGGGATGACAAGCTGGGAAACTACATTTCCCAGAATCCCAGAAGCTGTTTACGGTGGTCTGCTGTTGACTCGCTGCTCAAATATAAACATTCCTGGCTGTCAACACACGTTACATTCACACTCTAGAGACGTTTTCTGTCTGCGCTTTATTAAAGGCTTAAAATGGTTTTAGTTCAGCGACCGTTTCCGGGGTTTTATTTTGAAATTACTGACGCGCGGATTTGTTAAAAGTAAAAAGCGAGAGAAAGCGGGCAGAGAGGACTGGGGACGTGACGCACTCCACCCAGCGTGGCGTGTATTTAGAGCGGGTTCTCCACAAGTCGTGCGAATGCTTTCCCGGGATTTTATTGTGAAAGTCCGCACAGGAATTTGGCAAAACGCGCTTGGAAACTGACTTGGAGCCTTGAAATGGGTACGTGGTAGGTACCGAGTGGAAACTTCCACACAGAACTGCCAGCCTTTAAAAGTAAAAGGGAAAAAAAAAAGAAGAAACAAACAAAACAAAAAAGCTGGCGGACGCCGGAAAGACGAGCAGGACGCGGTCACGATGCTTCCACGCAGGCAGGACTACGGGAAGAGACGGAGCGACGGCGTGCGGAGCGGCTCCGTTATCGGCTTCCGGAGCGCGGGGAGCCCGGGCTCCGGCCGCCGCGGCTCCGCCGTGCTGCCCTCGGTGCTCACCTTCCTGGTGATCGTAGCCTCCGGAGGCCTGCTGCTCATGATAGAGAAAGGAATGCTGAACAGCGTGGAGACGCCGTCTCCCCGGGGCAGCGCCAGGCGGCTGGAGCTCCTCGGCGAGACCCGAAAACGCGGCGCAGGCGGCGCCGACGAGGACTCCCAGGTACCCTCATCGATCATCTCCTTCCAGTGATCGAGTTTTAGTCACTTTATTTCATTTGCAAAGCTGTCAACAACAAAAAAGTGCATTGGAAGGGCTTTTTTTCCCTCTCTCCACCCAGTCTTGAATACAAAAAGTTATTTTAAACTGCTCTTTATGTCATCAAGTGATGAGGTTCCAGTGTGGCCCTTAAACATGTCCACATATTTCAAATTCAGAAATACCATCCAAAAAGGGAACTGAAATGTTGTGCCTCAAATTTATAACGAACTAAACTCTAAACGGTGTACTATTGATTTGTATCCAGTCAGTCCAGCTGTTTTCATCTTCTCCCAGAAAACAGAGGTTAAAAAACAGTCAACACCAAAAACTGTTGATTGTGGACTTTAAAAACCTATTTTTAATGGAAAGATTGCAAAAGCCACCGTTTAAACAATGTCGTAAGTTTGCCACAAGCATTGTAAAGGGAGCAGCAGACTTAGCACTGATTGTTTTCTGTATGCATGTATGCAAAGAAACCGCCATGACAGAAAACCCTCATCCCTCTAGTGAAACATGGCGGTGGGGAGGCTTTTCTTCAGCAGGACATGAGATGGAAAGAGCTAAACACAAAGTAATCCTGAGAGAAAACCTCTCGAGGCAGCAAATGATTTGAGACTGGGGTTGGAGGTTCATCTCAGACATGCAACTAGAGCCACAAAGGAATGATTTATGTCCCAAGTACGGCCCAGTCACTGTCAAGACATGAATCCAACTGGGAATTTGTGGCAAGACTTGAAAACCAGTGTGACTGAGCTCAAGCTGTTTAGCAAAGAATGGGCAACGGTTTCAGTCTTTTGATCCTTGCAGCTGTGATTTGAGCAAAAGGTGTTTTTTATTTATATATATATATATATATATATATACACATTGTTCTGACAGACTAGCTGAATATAGATGCATAGCACACTTTTCAGATGTTTAATTTTTTTGAAAACAGTATATCCACTTGACTTTCACAATTGCCTAAAAACCCAAATAGACGTACATGTGACGTTGCATGAATCAGAAAAAATTTTGACGGGTATGGGCAGTGGTTCAGCATTTAAATTTATTTCAATGTTGCATGCAGATCCTCCAGGAGATCCGCAACCGCACCATCAGGACCATGTGCAGCCAGAAGAACATGCCCCACAGCATCTGGTCCCTGAGCCCCCTGCAGAGGAAGACGGTGCTGCAGCACATCCTGGTGAATGACGAGTACCGCTTCCTCTACTGCTACGTGCCCAAAGTGGCCTGCTCCAACTGGAAGAGGGTCCTGAAGGTCCTGAGCGGAGCCTTGGAGAGCGTGGACGTCAACATCAAGATGGACCACCGCAGCGACTTGCTGTTTTTATCCTCTCTGAAGCCGGAGGAGATCCGCTACCGCCTCAAGCACTACTTCAAGTTCATGTTCGTGCGGGAGCCCATGGAGCGGCTGCTCTCCGCCTACAGGAACAAGTTCGGGGAGATCGAATCCTACCAGAAAAAGTACGGCGCGGAGATCGTGAAGCGCTACAGAAAGGGCGGTGCCAAGGATGCGTCCGTGACGGGAGACGACGTGACCTTCGGAGAGTTTGTCCGCTACTTGTTAGACGAGGACGTGGAGCGCATGAACGAGCACTGGATGCCCATTTACAACTTGTGCCAGCCCTGCGCCGTTTCTTATAACTTCATAGGCTCTTATGAGCACCTTGGAAGGGACTCGGAGTACGTGCTCCAGCGCATCGGCGCGCCGCCGTTTGTTCACTTTCCGGAGAGGCAAACGTGGTACAAGCCCGTCACCACACAAACGTTACACTACTACTTGTGCACGTTGCCGCAGAAGCTACTCAGGGAACTCCTGCCGAAGTACATTTTAGACTTTTCTCTGTTTGCTTACCCCCTCCCAAACACAACCTCTGAGCACTGCCGACATTAATAGATGTTCCGTTTCCTGGTTTAAGTGTTTATATATATATATATAAATTCATTTTATATTATTTTTATTCCTAAGGAAAAAAAACTATTTTGAGAGACAGTAAACATGTACTTCTGATGTCACACCAACCACTAAAGCTTCAAAAATGAAGAGGAGAAAAATGTCACTGAAACTTGAACTGTTACAGCAAATCGGTCACAATAGACGAAAACACAGTTTCAGCTAAAGTTCATTACTGGCAAGAATCTTAGTACTTTAGTTATTTTAAGTAGTTTGAACTGTTGTTATTGTCAGGTTGGAATGCTGAAGCAACGTTCGGCTTGAGAGAAAAATCAAACAAACGTAATATATTTTCTGTAAACCGCTAATAATCTAGCTGCTTAGAATCAACCAGCTGGATTTGCCCGTTCTTTTAACTTGGTGTTAAAGTGGTTTTCTAGCACCAACCTGATCATTAACATCGTCTGAAAACTATCAGTAGGGCTGAAGTTGGATTGTTGTACTGTGAGAATACTCGCATATCTTAATTTCAAACAATTTGCTGATTTGAGGTGAAGTTTGAAGGTAGTTCACCTTTCATCTGTAATCCACCTAATTTGTGCAACACACCAATACCCTTCAAAATTTCTCTATCGTTACTGATAAGAGGACCAGCAGTATACCAGAACCAACTTGAAGGCTATATATACCCTGTTGCCAAGGTGCATCTTGTTAAGAGACATTTGACCAAATATTATGGGATGCATTTTGTACAATTGTGAACATGTTTAGATTAGAAGAAAAAAAAAAAAACCCTAAAAGTTTAGATTTTTGGCACCTAATTCTGTTCTAAAATTAATTTCGGTGCATGTTGTGTTGCCAAAAACTAAATTACAGAACTTTTACAATTTTAAGTCAATCTAATGTCCTAATCTGTCCTAATCTTGGACAGCGATGTCCCTCCCCTCTTAACTTCTCATGGAGCATTAAACTATTTACCATCTAATCAAACTGACAAACTTTTTTTATCATAATGTACACCATTTCTTTTTTGTATTATATATTTTTAAAATCCTTTTATTTTACAAATAATTTATTAAAATATATATATAAAAACAAAAGTATTAAGTATAATCCACAATACTCAACATTTCAATACTGAAGTGCTTGAGGTTAGGAATGCAATTCATTTTTAGACATGTTTGATCTGTGAATGTACCTGATGCCAACGGCGTGTAAGTCGAGTTAGAATAGAAAAAAAAAAGTTTCACAGCAGCTTTTTTCCCCATATCCTGAGACATTGTTTAAGTAAACTTTAGCACCAGCGAGGTATGCTGCAGGCTACTTCATGCCATGGTCTGTGGAAGCCTTCATACTTCATGTCCAGACTTAAACTTCAAGTGTTTATCTGACTCACTGCAACTTCACTTGTCGTTAGCCGTTAATCCTTGAAGCTAACACTCCTAAAAAGGAGAAAGGGGAGGGGGACGAAAGAAAGGGTTGCAGCATTTAGGGTTTAAACATAATAAAAATGTGTCACTTGCAATTTGAAACAATGGATGTTATGTAAAAAAAAAAAAAAAAAAAAGTTTATGACCTTCATCCTGATCAAACCATACTTGTCTGAGTGTTCATGACTTCGGAGGACGGAGCGTTCCGCTGACGTGTAGTGAGAGCCGCTGGATGAGTTCTGGAGAGGCGAGCTTTGCAGAGACGAAAATGACAAACCCTGTCTGCGCATCTCCTGAACCGCTCTTTCACTGACGAGAGAGGGACAAAGCCACAAATGTTAGGATTAAACCTTTAATCTCCATTCATTTACATTCTTGTTCATGGGGCTGCAGGTACAGCAATGCTGAACCAAACATTACGAGCCAAATATTAGAATCTACAAGTATTAAAATCTATAGAGATTAGTAAATTGGGTGATTGTCAAAAACTATATTTGAGATGTATTCATTTAACTTCTGACTGACCAAACTAAATTTACAGATAACATTTGAGGGGGAAACCCCCCCACCCATTTTCAACATATAATATTTAATAAATAATACAAAAATAGACCCATTTTGCATTTAATTAATTCAACACAGTGAGAAAGTACAAACCTAAGAAATCCCTAAACATTTACATCAGGATCGCCCAAGATGATCCATTTTATGTCTCTTAAAATACATCATGCTTTATGCATCTACAAGTTAAATGAACTTTTATACTGAATGTAGAATTTTTCTGCATGAACTAATGAAACTCCAATCCTGGACAATAAACACTCTTCAACTTGTAGAAACAACAGCAGGACTTCTCCCACTTCAATGTAAACAGGGATTTGTCAGTGAGGTCAAAATCTAAACAGCGTACTTCTCCAAATAGAACAGTGATGCTTTTCTAGATTCCCCTCTTTAAAAGTGAAAGTTAAAATAATCACCTAAAAATTCTTTTTTTTTTAATTCACACAATTGCAAGAAAAGTTCAGACTTTTATTTTTGTAAAAGTTTTCACACATTTCCTGTTAGAATTCTACATTTTCCAGGATAAAATCTTCAAAGCATTCTGCGCTTTTTAGTCATTTTTAAAGTAGGAGTAAAGGAGGCTCGCTATAAATGTACGCCAGATATTCTTGCAGTGGTCAGGATGAAAAAAAGAAAACTGATCAGACAGGTAAAAAAGTGATGGACGGACTGACTGCTTCAAAAGCAGATGGATAAGGTCGACTTGAGAGACATATAGATTAATTGGATGACAACTGATAAGAAAAATTGATTGAAAACAAGGATGGATCAACATACACGACGGAAACATTTAGATTTCCAAACCTGAAAAATACTCTTATAAAATTCCAAACTTTTCCAGGCTGTGTTGGGAGTTCTTTTTTTTTTAGTAAGTTTCAATACTGAAATATTACTTCCAAGTGTTAGCAGATGATGCGACAGTGAAAGTTTTTCTCCCCCCCAATATAAATAAACTCACCGTTCAAAGCGCTCTGTGGTCAGCTGTCTTTTCAGCACGTCCATTTCCGTCTGCAGTTGAGACACTTTGCCTCGGAGGTGGGACACATCTCTGATGTTCTCTGCGCTTTATGCACATACGAAATAAACATTCAGCATCCTTTGTCTTTTTTTATTAAAAAAAAATACTTTATTGAGCTCAAAAACCAGTAAAGTGTACTGGATTTGTCTTTTACTTTTTGCTGTCAGCCAGAGCGAGCCTGTCGCGCAGGGCTCTCAGCTCAGACTCCCTCTCGCTGGCAGCCAGGTGCGTCTGGAACTCTTTCTGCCGGTTGGTGGACAGCAGCGTCTCCAGGTTGCGCACCGTCAGCCTCTCACTGGCTAGTTGCCTCTTGAGGACTTCAATCTCTGATCGAAGATCCTCCAGTTCTCCGGTGAGCTGAGTAAAGGAGAACAAAAAGACATCACAAAGATTGCAACAAGTTCTCTACGACACGAGTGGAATTGTGATTATGGCAGAGAGAATGAAATAACAACAACAAACAAACACATTCACCCTTTCCAGCTCCATGCTCTTGGAGGTCAAATGTCGTCCAGCGAGCTCCTTTCCGGAGTCTAGTTTGACACACAGTTCCCTGACAGAAGCCAGATCAGAAATGAGTGCCGCCTTCTCCTCCTGGGCTTTGTACAGATTTTCCTCCAGCTGGGACATCCCACGGGTCAGAGAGGACACCTGGGCTTCATAAGCTTGCACCGCCTGCATGTGCTGGAAGAGACAGAAGGAGCGGGGAAAACCACGTTAGGATACTGATCACTTCAGTTTTGTTACACTGGTTTTGATGTAGAAAAAACAAAAAAACATTTAATTATATGCTTGGAGCTAGGGATGCCAGTTATCGATTGTCGAGTTAATCCAAAATTTACGTATCAATCAATTGGTAGGCGGTCATTTTCTTAAAAAATTGATTTTTTTCTTATTCGAGAACGTCGACAATCTTTCCATAAAATGAAATGATGAATTTTTCATAACATAATACAATAAAATAAGGTGAAAATTGTACAACTTTATTTTATTCAGGTTTTCTCACATTATTAAACTTAGACATAGTTATAAAATAGAACAGGAGCATTTTATGTCACTGGATAGAAAAATAAAAGACGAAAGAATAATATAGTTTAAACTGTACTGCATGAAGTGCATTAACTCACAGCAGCCTTCAAATTCAACCGTGCTTATTAGCATCTTGATTATTTTTCCTTGAATCATGCAACAATCTCTATGCGTTATGCCATCAAGTTGATGCTGCTCCATTACTGCGGCTGGGCTGAATGGCAGCTATTAAGGTGAAACTTAGGGAGCTTGGCGAAAGTTTATAATTCAAAACAGAACACCGGACTGATTCTTTTTCCTGTTCTGCTATGACTGTCATCTTTATTTCTGTATAAAATGGGTCTGGTTAAGGATGACCAGCAGCGCCCTCTTCTGGATGGAGGCCAAACTACAATACTAAAAGACGTGGACGCTATTAATCGATTGGAACGATTGAATCTAACAAACCATCAATCGACAAGTAACCCTAAGTGGATTAATTGTTCGCGTCCCTGCTTGGAGCACATTTTCATTTTAATCCTTCACCTGTTGGATCTCTTTGTCTCTTTGTCCGAGAGTCTCCTGAAGCTGCCTGCGTTCTGTGTCCAAGGAGAGCAGCTCCAGGCGGATGGAGTTATTGAGGCCTTCTGCCTGGTGCAGCTTCTGCTCCCATTCCTGCATCCCAGAGTGGGCCATTCTGAAGCGCTCCAGTAAGTCCCTGTTCTCCTGTTCCTGAGAATCGCCAGTTAAACAGCAGAAATCGTTTCCAGAGATGACGGACACTAGCGGAACAAGCCAAAGCTACAGAAACGGGAGCATGGACCTTACCTTTGTGGCCATCAGTTTCTCTATTCTGGACACTTCAGAAATGTACGACTGGACCCTGGAATTCAACTCGTCCTTCTCGTGCAAAGCCTGCTCCATTTCTAAATGTACAACCTTAACAGAGAGACATTTCTTTGGTTTGTGTTCGGCTTTGTAACAACAAAATACAAAAGCAGGGTTTAAAATCTCCATCTACTTGGTTCTCCCTGGTCATGGTGGCCAGGTCGTCCTGCAGCCTCCTGTTTTCTCTCAGCAGGACGTCTTTGTCTCTCTTGAGAGCAGGCAGCTCCTCCTGAGACGAATCCAGCTGCCTCCTCAGACTGCCGATCTCCCGTTCTCGACTCTTCAGCGCTCCTTGCAGCTGACTAAACGAAAAATAGAAATCGCATCCATTTATTTTAGTTGAGAAAAGGGTAGCAACTCGCAGCAACGGCTTCTGCTGCTGAAATATGGCTCAGTTGAAAGCGGTACTCACGCTAGGGAATTGTCCATATTTTTGACAGTGAGTCTCACGTCTTCAAGGGTTTTTTCCTGGGAAAAGCCAAAGGATTGCTCTTCATTAGTTCTCACCACAACCCACTGAGACATTTACAAATTACAGTATTTATTCCAGATGATTGCAGAAAGAAAAACCACAAACTCACATAATATTACATAACAGTAAAACACTGATTCATTTAACCTTGATTTCAGCTTTGAAATGTTTGATATTTTACAATAGTGCCTGTAGTTGAAGTGAAACATGCTCAGAGAGGCATTTACTAATATATCAGTAAATGTCTCTGACATTTACTGGATATCAGAGATCCAGTAAATTTGCTGGATTTACTTGGAATATCTGAATATTCCAAGATATTCAAATGTCTTGGAACATTTGAAAATTGTTCTTCTTTGACAAAAACCTTGTGAACAAAAAGTGCTGATGAACTTGTTGGTACCTTCTGGGACAGGTCATCCTGGAGAGCAACCAGCTTCTCCGTCTTTTGATCCACCTCGTCCTGTAGGATGTCTTTCTCTCTGTCCAGGACACACATCGACTTCTGGAGAGTTTCCACTTCCTCATTCCATTTGGAGCTATGCTGACTCATCTCCCCTAACAGGAAGAGGACAAAAAGCTCACTTTTAAGCTTCTACATCAAAAAATAAAGACAGACAGAAAAAAAAAAAAACAATTTAAGGTTTGCAACATGTGGCGGCTCAGCACACTCACCTAATCTCTCTTGGAGTTCTTCGATCTGCTCGTGGGCCACATGCAGTTCGTTTATCTTCACCGAGAGTCTTCGCTGAACGTCAGACAGCGACTGCTCCATCTGCTCCTGCAGCAGTCTACATACACAAGACATGTGAAATAACAAATCTTTCTTGTCCTAACACAAGTATAACTTTGGAAATGAATTTAACAATTTGACGGATCAAGCTAAGATGCACCAAACAACGAGATCAAAAATCTTGATTGGCTCCGATTCAAACTGTTTTTTCCCCTATTCATTAAATGTATCAGAACTAAGGACGGCACCATTTTTGGTCCATAAACGCATCAAACAGGACATGTGTTCTGATAAGTGGTGGGCGATATGGACGTGATGATAAAAACCATTTACCAATACTTGTTGTATTAGGTAATTGTGTGTCACAGTAATTACAGCAACACAAACACAATTCTTGAAGAACATTCCCAGTTGTAATGCTCTATGTCAGGACACCAGTCACATAAACACTAAACTACACCATAACTGCGTTTAATATTTTTAAATGTTTCAATATTTCTTGATAGTAAAACTGCCAATACCAACAATGCAGACAGTTTTGGAGGGTTTTAAACATCATTAATTGGAATTTTTTTACAACTTTGAATCAGAATCCCTGTGAGAAATTTATTGCAATAAATGAAAAAAATGAAAAATAAAATCCCAGTCCTAATTCTGATACATTTTGTTTTCAGTTTAAGAGAAATGTAAGAAATCAGATAAAGACAATGGACAGCTGATTTGATATATAAATGAAGAGTATCATTTAATTACTTCATTTTCTGAAAAATTCAAATTTAGCACCTCAATCAGTGACTCCTGCCTCTGAGCCTTATGGGATATGGTCCTCAAAAATTTAATACCATAAATTGCATCAGGGAAAAAAACCAAAAAAAACATACTGGAGACAATTGAAAATATGTTTTCATAAAAATGTGACACTTTCCTCAAGAGCAGATTAAGAGTGGTGCTACAGCAGTCGATTCTTTTACAAAATCCTTACAGCAGGAAACAACAGAGCAGATCCAAACAGAAAACCAGCATTTCCTACCTCAGGGCGTTGGCCTCGGCCAATCTCTGTTCGACTTCTTCTGCGCTTTGGACCGAAGCAATGGAGTGAACCTTCAACTCGTCCTCCACAGCCTCCTTGCCCTCTTTCAACAGGCACACTTGAGTCCGCAGGTCCAACCTCTCCCGCTCCAGCTGCGCCCCAAAAGCACTCCAGTGATGACAAAAACATAACACATTCAATCGGGGAACTATCTGAATAACGATGAGACTCACACTCCCGACAGTATTCTCCAACTCGAGAATCCTCCTCTCGTCTCGCTCTCTGTCAGTGAGCGCTGACATCTGGGCAACCTGCAGATCAATAGTAACCTATTAATCTGAGTGAGTGAACAAGTGGACTGTTTGGCTTTTTTTTTTTAAAAATCTGTTATTATCTAGATTAGTTTTTAAAATAAACCAACTGATCAAATAAAGTTTACCTTTAACCTCTCCATCAGTGAATCCCGTTCAGAGGCCATCTGGTCAAACTTCATCTCTACTCGTCTCACCTCCTCCTGCATTCTCAAGAGGTCAGCCGACAGGTCTGCTCTGCGGGCCAACATTAGGTTGTCTTGAGCCTGAACGAGCCAGAATAAGTGAAAATTATGCAGCATAGATTATTATTATTATTTTTGGATTAGCATCTTCTAATGTGTATTTAAAACGTACTTGCTTAAAAAGGGTTTTGAAGTGGTCTCTCTCATTACTGAGCTCTTGAACTTTGTTCTGAATGTCCTCCATCTGTCTCTCAAAGTCCATCAGAGCAGCCTTCAGCGTATCCTTTTCTTTGATTACAAAGAGCAGTTCTGGGTCTGGACCAC